ACATACTTTTATGTTTATGAGCATATGTGTATTCTGTTTATACATATATATATATATATATATATAATATGTATATATATATTATATATAAAATATATAATATATAAAATATAAATATGTATGTATATATATATATATATATTTAGTATTTGCATTTCCTATATAAATATATATATATGCATACGTATATATTTATACTATATAGATATTTATTCATTTGTTATACATATATATATATATATAAATATATAAATATTTATATTTATTTATTTATTTATTATATATATCTATGAGGTGTATGTACACCGCAGTCACTCCCCTAGAAAAAAAACAAACAAAACTCCGCTATTGTTGTTGCTGCTACTGCTGCTGCTGCTGCTGCTGCTGCTGGGGTTGCTGCTGCTGGTGTTGATGTTGCTGCTGCTGCTGCATCTCTTGCTGCTGCATCTGTTGCTGCTGCTGCTGTTGGGCGTCGGATGCTGCTGCAAATGCTCCTGTGGCTGTTGCTGTCGTTGCTGCTGCTGCTGCTGCTGCTGCAGGTCATGTGAGCGTTTTTGCTGCTGCTGCTGCTGCTGCTGCTGCTTTTGTTGTCGCTGCTGCTGCTGTTGCTGCTGTCCTTGCTGTTGTTGTTCCCGCTGCTGTTGCTGCTGCTGTTAACCTTGTTGTTGTTGTTGCTGCTGCTGCTGCATTCTTGATTTTGCTGCTGCTGGCAGCAGCAGCTAGCGTACATTTTCTTTCTTTCTTCTCCCTCTGGACTTTGTTATTTTTGTTGATATTTTTTAAATATATTTAATTAATATAATTTATTTATTTTATATTTATATTTATATTATTTTAGTTTATTTACTTCGCAGTGTAGCTGCAAGGAGCAGCAAAATCAGCAAAGGCGTAGCTCTGGGGGCCCCCGAAGAGTTGAGCTGAGGGGGCCCCCCACTGAGCATCCTCCTGCTGCTGCTGCAGCAGCAGCAGCTGCTGCTGCTGCTGCTGTTGCTGCTGTTGCTGCTGGTGGTGGGCGAGCTGCTCCTGCAGGTGCTCCTGCAACTGCTGCTGCTGTTGCTGCTGTTGCAGCAGCTGCTGCAGCTGCTGCAGTTGCTCTTGTGGCGAGGGCTGCAGCACCTGCTGCTGCTGCTGCTGTTGCTGCTGCTGCTGTTGCTGCTGCTGCTGCCTCTTCTGGTCCAGTAAACACCTCAGCAGCAGCAGCAGCTCGCTGCATACATTTTCAAAGCCTTCGCTTCTTTCTGCTGATTCTTGCTGCAGCAGCCCCGCCCCGCAAACACCCCCTCCATCGACAGCTGCCAGTGGCTGCTGTTGCTGCTGCTGCTGCTGCTGTAACAGCAGTAGCTGTTGCTGCTGCAGAAGCTGCTGCTGCTGCTGCAGTAGGGCCTGAGCCCCGAATGCTGCCTGTGCTGCAGGAGCAACAGCAGCAGCAGCAGCAACGGGAGCAGCAGCAGCAACAGGAGGAACAGGGCTAGGTGCAGCAGCTGCAGGAGCAGCAGCAGCAGCTGCAGCAGCAGCAGCCGGGGATAGTATTGATAAAGCATTTATATGCTGAGGTGTACATACACCTGAAGAAGGCAATAAAGAAGGCTCTGCTGTTAAAACCCTTTGCATAGAAAACCCTTGGGGGCAAAGAGAAGGAAAGGCAGAGGGTCCTGTCTGCTGCTGCTGCTGCTGCTGCTGCTGCTGCTGCAGCTGGAGCTGCTGCTGCTGCAGCAGCAGCAGCTGCTGCTGCACTTCACGAATGCTAAGGCCCCTTACGCGGGGACCCACAGAGAAGGCAGCACCGCCTTTTGATAAGGGCCCTGAGACAAAATATAAAAATCAAACAAGGGTTTGGGGTTTAGGGTTTAGGGTTTAGGGTTTAGGGTTTAAGATTATTCCGGGCTTTGGGGATAGGGTCAAGGGTTTAGAGTTAAGTGTTTAGGGTTTAGGGTCCAGGGTCTAGGGTTTAGGGTCTAGGCCTATTTAGGGTTTAGGGTTTAGGGTTTAGGGTTTAGGGTTTAGGGTTTGTGAGGCACCATGGATTGCCACGGTGCGTGTGTAGTGCTGGGCACCTTGCTGCAGTTTTTGCTGCTGCTGTTTTTGCTGCTGCAGTTTCTGCTGCTGCTGCTTCTTTGCCTTAGTATTTAGTTGTGGGGTTTCTGCTGCTGCTGCTGCTGCTGCTGCTGCTGGTGTTTCTGCAGCAACGTATTCTCGTTTTATATCATCTGCTTCAAGTCCTTTTGCTGCCTCCTCTTGTTGCTGCTGCTGTTGCTGTTGCTTCTGCTGCTGCTGCTGCTGCTTTGCCTTTGTCGGGCTTTGCTGCTTAGCAGCAGCCTGCTGCTGCAGCAGCAGCAAGTCTTGCTGCTGTTTCTGCTGCTGCTGCTGCTGCAGGAGGGTATCAGCCTTTTCTTTGTTGCTGCTTTCATTTGCTGCTGCTTGACGTGCATTATTTGTACTGTCTGCTGCTGCTGTTGCTGCAGCAGCAGCAGCAGCAGCAGCAGCATTAGCATCAGCAGCATCAGGAGCAGCCTTGTTGCAATTTTTATCGAGTTGATGATCTACATTAGCTTCTTCCTTCTTTTCTTTTGCTGCTGCTGCTGCTGTTGCTGCTGTTGCTGCTGTTGCTGCTGTTGCTGCTATGAGGCCCTGCAGCAGCTCTGTCGCAGCGTCTCTACCTCTTAATTCTTTTTCTGTATGTGCATAGGGACAGCGAGATCCATACAAACAGCCTCTGCCTCCTTGTTCTTTAGCAAACCTGCGAACAAATTAACATAACTCTCCTGCTGCTGCTGCTGCTGCTGCTGCTGCTGCTGCTGATGCTGATGGTGCTGATGGTGATAGTGCTGCTGCTGATGATGCTGTTGATGGTGCTGCTCGTGCTGCTGCTAATGATGATGCTGCTGATGCTGCTCGTGCTGCTGCTAGTGGTGCTGTTGCTGCTCCTGTTGCTGCTGTTGCTGCTGCTGTTGCTGCTGCTGCTGCTGGTGCTGGCGGTGCTGCTGATGCTGCTGGTGCTGCTGGTGCTGCTGCTTCTGCTGCTGTTGCTGCTGTAGTGTGAAGAGAGACAGAGCGAGAGAGAGATGTTAACGTATACTCTTTAATGTCTATTGTTTATTGTTTATTGTTTATTGTTCAGGGTTCAGGGTTCAGGGTTCAGGGTTTAGGGTTTAGGGTTTAGGGTTTAGGGTTTAGGGTTTAGGGTTTAGGGTTTAGGGTCCTGCAGACGCGCGTGCGATATTCTGCGAAGTGACAGGTCAGGCGCAGCTCTTCGTCAGAATGTGCGTAGCGACAAGCTCTGTTTTTGCTGCTCACAAACCCTAAACCCTAAACCCTAAACCCTTAATAACCCTTAATAACCCTTAATGACACTTAATAACACTTTATAACCCTTTATAACCCTTAAAAACCTTTATTAACCCTAGACCCTAAATAACACTAAACCCTAAATAACCCTAAACCCTAAATAACCCTAAACCCTAAATAACCCTAAACCCTAAATAACCCTACACCCTAGACCCTAAATAACTCTAAACCCTAAACCCTTAGTAATCCTAGACCCTAAACCCTTAATAACCCTAAACCCTTAATAACCCTAAACCCTTAATAACCCTTATAAACCCTGAACTCTACCCTGTAGGAACAAACGGGAATACATATTAATATCTCATCACGCTGCTCAATACAAGCCAAGGGTTTAGGGTTATTAAGGGTTTAGGGTTTAGGGTTTAGAGTTGATAAGTGTTAATAAGGGTTCATAAAGGGTTCCTAAGAATTAATTAGGGTTAATAATGATTAATAAGGGCTAATAAGGGTTAATGATCGTTTAGGGTTTAGGGTTATTAAGGGTTATTAAGGGTTATTAAGGGTTATTAAGGGTTATTAAGGGTTATTAAGGGTTATTAAGGGTTATTTAGGGTTATTAAGGGTTATTAAGGGTTATTAAGGGTTATTAAGGGTTTAGGGTTATTAAGGGTTTAGGGTTTAGGGTTATTAAGGGTTTAGGGTTTAGGGTTTGAGTACCACTGTTTGCCAGCGAGTACATTAGCGCAGATTTTTGTTTTTCTGAGGTCGGGTAGAGCTCTGAGCTCTTCTTCGCAGTGTGCATAGGGGCAGCTAATGCCTCTTTTACAGCCTTTCTTCTGATTATCTAGACAAAGTTTTGTTTTTAACATTTGATTTGCTACAATGCTGCTGCCAGCATAACTGCTGTTCGCTCGGGGGGCCCCTCTTCGCTGCAGCGGGTTTGAGCTGCTGCGGGTAGAAGCAAATGATGAAGGAGCTGCTGCTGGTGTTCTAGAGCCTCCTGTTGTTGCTGCTGTTGCTGCTGTTGCTCCTGCTGCTGTTGCTGTTGTGCAGTCTGCTGCTGAGGTAGTTGAGGCTGTTGCTGGGGATGGTGTTGTTCCTGTTGTTGCTGCTGTTGCTGCTGTTGCTGCTGCTGATGCTGCCGTTGCTGCTGATCCTGTTGCTGCTGCTGCTGCTGCTGCTGGGGGAGTTAGTAAAGCAGTAGGACGCTCCAACTTGCTGCTGCTGTTGTTGCTGCTGCTGCTGTTGTTGCTGCTGCTGTTGCTGTTGCTGTTGTTGCTGCTGCTGCTGTTGTTATTGCTGCTGCTGCTACGTAGGCGGGGGCCCCCTTTGCTGCTGCGTGTAGCCCCCGAAGTAGGGCCTCCTTTAGCAGCTTTAGCTGCTGCTGGTGTTGCTGCTGGTGTTGCTGCTGGCGTTGCTGCAGCAGCAGCAGCAGCAGGGGGCGAAGCAGCAGCTACAGTGTGGGGCCCCTTCAAAGCAGCTAATAACCCCTTCGATGACTGGGGGGCCCCCCCGGGTGTATTGGCTGTCTCCATCGCGTCACAGCACTTTAGCAGACAAAAATAAAAAGAAAAAGAAGAAAATCAAAGAAATTAAAGATGCGCTTGGTGAGGTGTATGTACACCTGAAAGAGTCGACTGTAGAAAAAGAAAATAATAATAATATTAACAAAACACAAAACAAACAAGCAAACAAACAAACAAAACTGTGAAGTATAAACCAAACCCTGAACCCTAAACCCTAAACCCTAAACCCTAAAGCTTAGGAGCACAGAGGAGTATAGAGAAGGAGACCGAGCGAATGCTGCTGAGCTGTACAGATGTGTATTGCTACCTCAAAGCTGAATTCTAAACCCTAAACCCTAAACCCTAAACCCTCACGTATACACTAAGCCATGCTGATGCTTGCGCCTTTGCCTGGGGTGGATCAGACAAAGGCGTTATTGGGGTTTAGGGTTTAGGCTCTAGGGTCTAGGGTTTAGGGTTTAGGGTTTAGGGATAAACATGCCTGGAGTTTGCAGTATATTGAATGAAGTAATGAAGGAAGAGAGCCGCAGAGAGGCGAGCAGCAAACTGCTGTCAGTACGGCAGTAGAGTAAGAAGAAGAGATAAATTGGTGTAAAAAGGCGATTATAGTTGAATAAATGAATAAAAAACAAGAAAATAAATATAATAATTACTAAATTTCAATATATAATCAGCTTTGAAGAAGAAATGAAGAAAGAAGTGTTAACTTCACTCTGCGGTGTATGCGCACCTCTGCATTGGGCCAGTGGTCTAGCTAAGATATTAGTGCTGAAAAAAACCCTGAAAAGAATCTTTTAATTTTAATTTGAATAAATAATTGTTTATTTCATAGAAATTCACTCAGAAAAATGCAATTTTCTCACCCAAATGCTGTACAATCCTAAACCCTAAACCCTAAACCCTAAACCCTAAACCCTAGGGGAGAGGAGGGAGAGTGATTATTACTGCATAGAGGCGCTGAGGCCCCTCTTGGTGTTTATTATTAATATTTTCTGTTTAATATATTAAATAAATTATAAAATATTATTTTTAACTTTATTTTATCTTTTAATCTCCTAAATTTACATCAAACAACAAACGCTTCTTCTCTTTTAATACCATTCCCCCTAACATCTCAACAAACACCTTCGCCACCACCTTCTTCAAATATCATTATAAACCCTAAACCCTAAACCCTAAACCCTAAACCCTTATATCCTAAACCCTAGAGGGCCCCTAGGGTTTAGGGTTTAGGGTTTAGGGTTTATCACCGCTTTCCCCTTCATGGCGTATTGATGCTACACGTGCACAGGGGGCCCCTAGTAAGCCCCTAGGGTTTAGGGTTTAGGGTTTAGGGTTTTAGAGCGAGTTGAGGCAAGGGCTACCCTGGCTAAACCCTTTGAAGAAGAAAAGAAGTGCTTTACATTATGCTGCTGCTGCTGCTGCAGCATTCATAAGAAAGACAAATAATTTTTTTCTTTACAGCAACTCTTTTGGTGTTTACTCACCTAAACCCTAAACCCTAAACCCTAAACCCTAAACCCTAGACAGTGTACGATAAACCCTTAACCCTCAGCAATAAACTGTAAACTGTAAACCCTAAACCTTAAATAATACACCTTAAACCCTAAACTCCAAACCCTAAACCCTAAACCCTAAACCCTAAACCCTATTGAACAAGCTCAAAACCCTAGACCCCAAAACCTGTACCGTAGACACTTCACCCTAAACAACAACCCTTAAACCCTAAACCCTAAACCCTAAACACTAAACACTAAACCCTAAACCCTTAGCCTTCTCCTCCTTTTAGAATGAGTGCAATGAAGACAGACGATGAACAAACAAACAAAAACAAAAAAAAAAATTAATTTTTATTACAACCTCAACTGTCTGTACACCTGAATAGATAGAAAGGGGCCCCTTCTTCGCTATAATACAAATATCTCCTACAGCTGCTGCAGCTGCAGCTGCAGCTGCTGCTGCAGCTGCCGCTGCCGCTGCAGCTGCTGCTGGTGCTGCTGCAGCAGGGGATCCCACTGGCTGCTGCAGCAGCAGAAGCAGCCCTTGTTGCTGCTGCTGCAGTCCGTGTTGCTGCTGCCGCAGCCCTTGCTGCTGCTGCAGGGGCCCCACTTGCTGCTGCTGCAGCTGCAGCGGGGACCCCACTTGCTGCTGCTGCTGCAGCGGGGGGGCCCCTGCAGCAGCAGAAGAGACTCGCTGCAGTGCTAAATGAACTCTCTCTTTGTTTATTATTATTATTATTATTTATTATTATTATTATTATTATTTAAAATTTGTTTATTATCATTTGATGGTTTGTTTGTTTCTATTTGCTGCATTTCTTCTGGTGTATTGCCCCCCATCTGCTGCTGCTGCTGCTGTTGCTGCCGCTGTTGCTGCTGCTGTTGCTGCTGTTGCTGCAGTTCCGGCTGGTGTTGCTGCTGCTGCTGCTGCTGCGGCTGCTGCTGCTGGTGTTGTTTTTGCTGCCGCTTCTGCTGCTGCTGCCGCTGCTGCTGTTGCTGCTGCTGCTGCTGCGGGGGGGAGGAAGTGCTGACAGAGGAAAAGACTAGGGAAGAACAAACCCTAAACCCTAAACCCTAAACCCTAAACCCTAATTCGCAAGTTTCAAACGCCTTTTTGTTTATCTACGTTCAGAATAAAATGTCTCGGTCACTGCCGTTGCTGTTGTTGCTGCTGTTGCTGCTGCTGCTACCGTTGCTGCTGCTGCTGCTGATGCTGCTTTGGCTGCTGCTCTTGCTGCTTCAGCTGCCCCATTTTCTATGCTTCTCCCCTTGCTGCTGCTGCTGCTGCTGCTGCTGTTGCTGCTGCATCCAGCCGTTCGTCCCTGGCTGCTACAGCAGCAGCTGATGCCGCAGCAGCAGCGCGTGTATTTGCTGCACCAGAGGGGAGTGTTGCTGCGGCTGCTGCTGCTCGAGATGTTGCTGCAGCAGCAGCAGCAGCTGCTGCTGCTGCTGCAGCTTTCTCTACTTCCGCTGATCCCCCTTAATCGGTTGCCTTGAAAGGGGTACATAGGCGTTGCTGCTGTTGCTGCTGTTGCTGCTGTTGCTGCTGTTGTTGTTGCTGCTGCTGCTGCCGCTGCTGCTGCTGGTGCTGGCTCTC